AACCATTTATTCGCCATAAGTATGATCGTTTTATGTTTTTTTTGGCATCTGTACAAAACTTGAACTGTTGAAGAACGGTAACTTTCTGGACTCGAAAATAGAACGGTATCTACTAAATCTGTAATATGACAAGCAACGTTTAGTTGATAAATTCTGATTTGTAAACGTCATTAGTTCCAAAGACCGGCACATCTGTTTCCTGACTGATCCGTTGGTCCAGTTATCCCAAAAAAGTTGCCGTGAAATGAATTGCCATTTTCGTCACGAAATTAAATATGAAACCGGAGTCACCGTCCCAAAAATTCGCTTCCAGCAGATTAATAAGGTAGCTGTCCGCCGTAATACGTAATTAGTTCACTTTAAATAAAGCGTATAACTTAAAAAATAGATAAATTTTAGTAATAAACAAAGGCGAGAATCATTCCTCGCCAACATTATTTCTTTTGTGATAGGATCTAAATGTAATCATTTGTTAATTAGCATCACGTGATTTTGGGGGGGGGGGCTCGTGGCGAGTGGTTAAAAGTCGCTGACTTGAGATCACAGGTCCCTCACCAGCTTGTAGGTTCATGTTCCTTAACTCGGGGTTCGAAAATCTTTCATGTTAGGAAGCCATCCCAGCTGGCTTAACGGTCGGTGGTTCACCCAGGTGCCCGCTCGTGCCTTAAATAATGCCCGGAGGGGCACCTGGGGTTCTAGTCCTCCACCAATAAAGCTGGAAAACCAATCGACGAAAAATCTCGGCGGGACGCTCTAGGATGACCGACTAGAGCTGCACGGTCGCCCATTATGCTTTCCGGCGGCGACCTTAAAATAAAACGCATCAAAAAAAAAAAAAAAAAAAAAAAAAAAAGTTCAAATACTTAATTTATAGCACTCGTTGAATAAAATAATATTATGCTCGCCAGAGGCTTGCATAATATAATTTTATTCAACCTTATTTCACTTTAAAGCGTCTTTATTTTTGTCGGTAAGTAGTTGATAAATAGAATATTAAATTCGTGTGATGTTCATTAATGAAGTTGAATAAAATTATATTATGCAAGCCTCTGGCGAGCATAAAATATTATTTTATTCAACGAGTGCAATAAATTCATTAATGACACTTACACGAATTAATATTCTATTTATCACATACCTAAATAAAGACCGTTTAAAGTGAAATAAGAGTCATTTTTATTGACGCGTCTATAGTATATAAGCCAAACATTTTAGCGCGTGTTTTACACTATGTTTATAACGCAAAGGACGTCACGTCAAAATATATGCACGGTCGTGCATACCTTTTTTACCCGAGTCGCGAAATCGGCACGGGTGTGGATGATATTATTTTAGTAAAATTCAAGTGAATTTTGACCCGTACTCGTCTGACAAACATGTATTAGTCTGTTGTTAACGTACCGAACGTTGTGCGCCCCCCCCGCCAAAAATTCTGTGTTTTTTTTCTACCCAGGATTTTTAGGCACGAATTCGCTCGTTTCCTGATATATATTTCTGAAGCGGGAAGGGTACGTAAAGACTGGGGTCGGTCTCATTCTGGAAGATTAAACAAACGTGAAATAGTGATAGAAGTGTTTTTTTTTAAATTGTGTCTGACCCAAATGCTTTTTCATAACGGCCCGGGAAATGAATCGCTTGCCTTCGTTCGATTCTGGAAGTTTTCCTGGTATAGTATATTTTTTAAAGTGGTCATTTTTACATTTATTTTTTGGTTTTGAACACTTTTAAAGATGAACAACATGTTTTTATTATCAATCGGTCATATTTTTTCTTCCAGGTCCGATACTCGTGGCCTGTGTTCAAACCCTTTATCATAAGTTTAAAATGCCGCGCAGATAAACGATAGGATGATTTAAATCGAAAGTATGAAAACCCGATTTTTTAAAATTTTTTTTAATTTGAATGTTTGGAAGCCGTATCTTCTGAATTTTACACAAGTAAAAGATTTCGTTGGATTCTTTGTTTAAATATCTTTCGAAAAAATATATGTAATATGTTATGAGCTAATATCAAATTTCTCGCACCCGAATTAAGGGTTCTGATTTTATTGCAAATATGAATACCTTATTTACTGTCAAAGTTTTATCTCAATCTAGTAAGCATATAAATTTGAAAGCTTAGTTTTACAAAGTGCAACTAAACTGCGTCTATTTTATATCGTTTATGATTTCAGAAAGGTGAATATTGACCATTGTTTGTCTTTGCAGTAACGATAACGTTTTTTACATTTTTAATAACATAATAAGATCTAAACAACAAAGCAAAACAAACAACACAACTTTATATAAATTTGCAGTTTAAGTCTTAAGTTTTTGTTTTTTTTTTATAAGATGTATATATTTTCTTGTTTAAAACAAAAGACCTTTTTTCGTCTTCAATCCTGTAAAACCAAAAACAGGAAATTGAGTAAAACCAATGTCAGTTTGTTTCCCGCGCATGCGTAAGAAAGTTTCATTTTTTCTTGTTCTGTTTTTATGAACAGAGTAAGTTTTATCAATTTTGAATGCAAAAAAAACTTTTACCATGTTGCTTATATTGCAGAACTAGAAATCAATCTGTGGTAAACACCAAGGACATGGGCTTGTTACTGCAAGGACTAATGAATGTTTACTTGAAGGACTTATAACTTGTAAATTTAGCGTTATTTTTTATCATTGAACTTACAATTAAAAGTTTAATTAAATAAAAAAATGAAGATAAGGCTTTGAATTATTCTTAAATAGATCTTAAATTTGAATACATAAAACTAAGGGAAAACTCTTTTTTAAAGTTACAGACGGACAATTTTGTTATTAACGTGGACAAAAAATAAAGAAATGATATGGTGTTATCATTTATTTACAAACAATAATCATTTGTATTTAAGCACCATTACTACTTAACTATTTGTAAAAATTTATAAACATTTCACAATTGCCAACATGAAATTTTAAAGCGGGGAAAAGTTAGCAAAGTCTTTAAAGATAACCAGCAATGTTGTTAGTTCGCATTAATTCAGTCTAAAACCCGTCCCAGTAAAATTTTAAAAAACAAGTTCAAAAAAGAATACCATCAAAAAATTTTTTAAAAAGATTGATATTAAATCCCTATTTTTTAATCAGGTTTTTTTTAATTTAAAAATAATTAAAATTAAAGAAAAAGTTTTTTGGCCTTTTAAAATGAAAAATTTTTTATTCCGGGAATGACTGTAAAAAATTTTCCCAGAATTTTTTCTTGTGACAAACCCAAATTCTTTTTAACCTTACAAATTTTTAAAGTAAACCCTTTTCTGTCCCAAAATAAACCTGGGGCCCTTTTTAAAACCTTTTCAAGCTTAAATTAATTGGGCCAATTGACCTTAAAAATTTTTTGGTCCCAACTTTTTAACCCAAACAAAAAAAAAATAGAAACTTACAGTGTTCGAAAATTTTTTGATAAGTCATAAATTTTTTACGAGAGGCCAAAATGGGAAATTTTAAAAAGTAAAAAACATCATGTTCGGACTACTTAATGACTAATTTTTTAAGTAGTTTTGAAGACAACAATCTTCTTGTTTTGTAAAAAATGCCTTTTTAAAGGCTTGCTTGTGAATGAATAAGTAAAGTTTGATGATTCTATATTCGCCAAAGTAAACTGTAATTTATGCAAAAAATAAGTCTCTGTAGAGATAAGTACAAAATAAGCTTTCCTTCTATATACTAGTACTGCCTTATTACTTTTTTCTTTAAAAATCGCTCTACAGTTATTTTCGTTGGAAATTTGACATGCATTTCAATTACCACAATATGTATATTGTCCTTAGAGTAACTTAATGTTGAGGATTCTAAAGGGTGCAAGATTATTCAGAATTTTCCTCAATTTTAAACAAAAGCAATGTTACTGTAAAAAGCAAAAAATAAACCAATTGAATTATATATAACTGAAACAAAAAAGAAACTTCTCCCAAATTTGAATTTTAGATATGTTAGTACAGTACATTTGTTTGAATTTAAAAAATCCTTTCAATAAAAACAGGTTGTCCCTTTGAAAAAAAAAAAACATAAAGCCCGGGAAAATTTTTAAAAGGATAAATGTCAATTTTAGAATAAATAATTAATTTAAAATAATATGCCAACCCAAAAAAAATGTAAAATCGATCTGATTCCATAATTATATGTTAAAGAAAAAGTGTTGTTTTTTTTTACTTTCAGGGAACAGAATTTTTTTACTTGCAGTAAATTATTCTAAGGACAGTTACTGCAAGGACTTATTCAGGTTTTTTTTACAAGCCTGTTTTTCACAAAATTTAGTAAAAGGGGGGGCAATTTTGATCAATTTTTAAATTATGACTGAAAAATATTTGCTAAAGGGAGCTGCAATACAAAAGGGAATCTTTCTCATAATTAAATAATTAGAATCCTCGTTACTTAAAGGGACTAGCTGTTCGAAAATCATTTTGGTTTTTCTAACCTTTTAATCCAATGTCTTGCCAATTTTCTAAATCCTATTTAAAATTTTTCCATATGTTTCGTTGCTGTTAGCCATGTATTACACCTATCACCTTCTTTTGAAAGTAGCACACTGCACATATTTACTTTAAAAACCTAAATTAATCTATTTAGTACTGTTTACTTGGGAAGGAACTTTTTGTTTAAAAAGTTGGGGATAAAAATTATAACTTGCATTTTTGCAAATGAAATACTTAACTTGAGGCTTTTACTTATAAATATATTATATAAAAGGTTAAAATTTTGCGTTAGTTAACAAAAATATGTATTTTAGTAATACAAATTTACATGATAAACAGCTGAAATTGGGATTTTGACTTTAGGACGAGGGAAAATCAGTTTTAATTTAGGATTATGACACTACCAGAAAAAAAAATATGTTTAATATCTTATCCTGTCAATGTCTTAGTTTACAATATTTTATGTACTTACAAGCATGCACATTTATTTTTTATAAAATGATCATGCATTTTGTGAAAAATTGAAAAGGACAAGATTACAGGCGAAATCTGATATTGGCTCGTATAACAGAAACGAGGTTGTTAAATTCCGCCATGTTTGTTTTGTAGTTTTAATATTTCAGAAGTCAGAAATAATGTGTTAAACGGAAAATAGTTTAAATCATCTCGATATTCAAACAGTATATAACACAAGTGTTTATACAGATACACGTATACTTAAAACTGATTTATAAATTAGATTAGTAACTATGTCTTCAACAGGTACCGAACACTACAGTAGAATTATGCTGACATTAATGAAAGGTGGAACAAAACTAACAAGAAGACTTGTGGAGAAAAGAGTTAAAGATCTAAGCAAAAATGGTGGAGAAGATACTATCGATGAATTTTTGCTAAAAAACAAATCTTTGATATTAGAACAAAAGTTGGGAAAGAACAAGCAGGATGTGATTTTTCCACAGTCCGGACAAACGAATCTAGATTACTGGGACCTTTGCATGTTTTGTTCAATTCTGGAAGAAACGTGTGATCTGACACATATTACGAAGATGTATATCAAGAAGCTTTTAAAGATCAGAAACAAACTTTGTCATTTAAATGACCCAACGTTAGAAACGAGAAAATTCGACGAGTATACTGAACACATGAAATGCTGCTTTGAACACTGTTTAAAAGAGATCAATGATGACAAGTTTACTGAGGAAATGAATGCACTTGTTCAGTCATTAGCCACTGGTCCTTTGTCAATAGATGATACGCTTAAAGCTGTTCATAAGCTTTACCATCTAGAATGGACATATAGAGAAGAATTGGAAAAAATTGGGAATGGTAAATGTATCTTCTCAATATCTTTAAGCCATATTTAATATATCTTTTACAATATTGTACAAGTAATATGGTAATTATAATTGAAAATATATAACTCTGTATGTACTGAGTAAAAATAGCTCTGTGCCACTTAATTCAACATCAAATCAGTTAATACTTGAAATCTGTCTTTTAATTTAGGCCAAGACTCGACAAATGGAAAGATTGACACACTTATTGAAGAGGTTGGAAGACTTAATTCTCGTTTGTCATCTGACGCTTCTGCAGGCATTCCGGGTAATTTAAAGATTGTTTTCATATGAAATTTATACGTACAAAATCAGTACCAAATAAATGTTTATTGTGATAAATGTATAACTTCAGTCAATATGCTTGTTTGGATATTGTTGATATTGCTCTGCATCTTTAAGATATATAATTTGTTTCTATCACTTAACCCCACAGCTTATCAAATAAAAACATAGATAAATTCCTCCGTCAAAAGAAAAACTTCACTGCCCCCCCCCCCCCCCCCCCCCCTCGAACATATGTATGTATTTTATGTTACATTTTGAAATTTTAAATAGTTTCAACAAGCAACTTAACCTGTGTATATAATAATAGTTTGAATAGATAATAGATTTGTTAAACTTTTGCCTCTATTTAGGTTACGTGCGTTACACATTAGCACTCATGCGATTATATTCCCTTTTGCTATACACCTCATTCAAATGTTCATAGTTTAAGATAAGACATCAGTACTGGTATAATCATGGGATATCACATTTCGGTACAAGTATATAACTATTCGGTCAATATTTTGGTCTATTTTTGGAACAGAGGGACTGTCTTTTAACCACTTTAAAATCGCATGTCTGATTTTTGTTACCGAAATGATTACGGTGGATTGAAAAATACATAAATAAAAGGAACATGTTTATAAGTAAAACCTGTATAAACTACAGTGCAAAAATCAGTTCTAAAAATGGATAAATTTGTCATTTAAATTAAATTTTGATAAAAAGTCATTTTACTGTATACATTTTTAATATTATTCATCATTATTTTTTAATAACGTATGTCATATTCAGGTATTGGAATTGTGATAGAGGTTGAAAAGTGCAGTGCAGAAATGAAGAAAGAAATTTTAGATATTTTAGAGAAAAACTTCAACGAGGCTATAGAACAGAAAGTACCAAGTCTTGAGGAAGATCTTCCAAACGGTGCTCTACATACAATCAGGGAAACAGTTATACAAGTGTTTCGAGAGTTTTTAATAATGGGAAGACATGTAACATCTGTGAAGCAAAAGTGTCTGTTACTTACAATAAAATGTACATCAGTGAAAAGCTTTCTCGAAATGATCCGCGATTACAGAACTGGAGATCTCTCAAAACAACTCTCGGGCATTGAAACAGCTATAAAGAATTTGCCAGGTTGTGGTAATGTCCAACTTACCAATCTCATCTTCAAAGACGAATTCATGGAACTCATGGCTAACCTTGGTATATCAATTTTTGTATTACCATATACTTCACCTAGAAATATAACTGTCTTTATCCTTTTAATCTTATGTTGACATAATGTTGAAAGCAATTTATTTAGAATTTTCTTTAACACCAATAAAAAGATGTTTTTCTACTTATCAAAACTGTTAGATATAGTACTAATCATATTAATTTCAGTTTCTAAATTACATGAACGAGTTTTACAAGCCGAGTACACTGCCGCTCAAATAAGTTCGAATGCAGTTAACTCCATTCGTGTAACACTTCAATTTCCTACACTTTCTGAAAGAGAAACAGTACAAAACCGTTTTGAAACTAAAATGTTTGTGAACGGAATGAAGCGCATTGAAACAGAACTAAGGCAAAAGCTGAACGTAGAGAGTATGTCATTAACAGCCAAACTTGTAAAAGATGAAGCTGTAACGAATTTCGGTAAGTTATGTTGTTTTATAAAACATGTTGACAATGAAACTTATAATATTTATATTATTTTGTCTGAAAAACATATAACAATTTTAGTATTTTGCTTGAAATGAAATCAGATGTATTTAAGAGAGGCATCTGTTCTCTTCACTTATAAAGCTAGCTGGAACATCAACATATAGGATTTTGCCTGTAAAAATTGTCAGTGTGGCAAAAAAAATTGCGATAACAATTTACTTGCAGATGACGACGGGAGTGATTTTCAAATAGATGAAGAAAGTACCAGTGAATTTAAAGTAGATGATAAAACATTTCAAAAACAAGCCACTGAGACGCAGATTGTAGTGAAGGAAGAGATTGGCCCAGTTAAGGGTTCCTCATCTGGTAAATATGAAACATATTTCTCTAGACATTTTTGTATGGCTGTTAAAAAACTGGTCGTATTATAGGATCGTCCACTGTCGTGAGCAAATTCCTGACATACATGAAGGGATTTTGATAAAACTTCATAGAAATGTTCACCACTATAAGAAGCCGTGTCGCCGGCATGAACAAGTTAAGACCACAAATAGAGGTCTGTGAAAAATGCTTGTTCGGGGCAAAACTTCTTCATGCATAGTTGGATTTTCATATTACTCCGCACGAATGTTCAACGTTGTGAGGTGGTGTGTCGCGCCTATAATTCAGGTCCTAGCAGATAAGGTCAAGGTCAAATATGGGGTTCTAATTCTAATAAAAATATATAGAGTGTATAGGGACCATTAACAAATGGTCATTATCATGACAACATAACAACTTGCAATTAAGGTCATTGCCACTGAAGATGACAAAATATCCAGATTTTGTCCAGAGCATTTTTCCTACTCGCATGCTGGCCTTTCTCCTGAAACTTTACCATGTACGGACTCGATCAAACCGAGTCTGCAATTTTCATCTTATTTTGTTGTGATTAATGATTATTAGGGATCACTTCCTTTCCAGATTTTTTACCAGACACAGGGACAATTTTTCAGACGGGCAGGCGTCAACTTTTGGTTTCTGCTCAATAACTTGGGCTACCAAGGTGTCTGTGATCAAGACCAAGGTCACTGATGCTAAAAATATATAATTTAGTTTCCGCTCAATAATTTGAGTATGCTTAGATAGAGAAATAAAGAGTCCCTAAATTAAGCCCATCACGGCAAAATTGAAAATGTTGCAGGCTCCTGTTCATGGACGGTACCAAAGGGATAATACGCTTTGATTTGATATTATACCTTACCTTACCCGCCCCCCCCCCCAGTCCCTGTTACAACCCCTATATTATATTGCCTTAAGTCAATTTCCAAATTTAGTATTCATAACAACAATAATATGACACTCTTGTGCAATTTTCATTATACCACTGCAGTATTAGTTATACAAGGTTAGCAACTCCTTTGTCCTTCCAGTTCTTAGATTCTACCCAAATTTACATTCAATGTCATAACTCAGCCAAATTTCTATATATTTTTAGAAACTTGATCTCGATCAATAGAGTATAGATATATTTATGCAATGACATCTTTCATATTAAGCAGTGTCAAGTATTTTGTTTTATACGAACACTGAAACAGCCGGTAACGTGAAATCTGACAAGATCTGATTCACGAAAACATTGAAATTTCCACGACTGAATCGCTAAAAAGAGGCAATGTTACGTATGAAATACCATTGCATCAGTAAAGCCTATTAAAACGATCGATGACACTTACCAACGAAAATGCGGTCTAAATCTATTTTATACCACAGCTACACAATGAAATGTAGGAGGGCGAAAGAGTTGCCACACTTGCATAACTAGACTATAGAGGTATAATGAAAATTGTGTAAAAGTGTCATTGTTATGAACACTTAATTGACTTAAGATCATATATTGGGAGTAGTAACAGGGATTTGAGGGAGGGGGGTCAGGAAGGGGATAATGTCAGATCAGATCAAAGCGTCTTATCCCTTATATGGGCGGTACTGGAGAGTGCAAGTTACCTTCCATGTCCCCTAGCACCGGCTTAAGCAGGATTCAACATTTAAACATGAAAATGATGAATTTTTTAATGAAGAGACATCCGCAAATGTGTTCTTGTCGGCGCAAAGAAATTTGTTTAAGATTTTTTGGGCCTATTGACACCAAACTTGATGTGTTAATAGCTTGTGTCGAGAGGGAGCTTGCGATTTCTACCCAGGTGTCTGTTATCAAGGTCTAGGTCCCTGTTGCTAAAATAGAAATTCAGTTTTAAGTTTGCTTAGGTCTATTGACGCCAAAAATGCTGTATAGGTAGTTAATATAATGAGACAGCTTGGGGTTGCTACCAAGATGATCAAGCTCAATGTCACTGTTGCTAAAAATAGATATTCATCATTATTTCTTCGCTGCAATATTTCATTCCTTATTCCTGTCACATCAATACATTACAAATAAATGAAACATTTTAAAAATTCATTACACTAGTCAATTATAATTAATTATGTAAACAACACAAAAAAATCGTTTTTATAAACAATATAAACATTTACTGTTTATCTACACTATCACCCTTAGCTGTTTAAAACATACAAGTTCTTTCCTTATTACATTTTAAAAGTTCTATTTTAACACCTTAACGAATTCAAGTAAGGGGTCAGGAAGAATGGTAATATGTCCACAATGATTAATACTGTACATGAAAAAAGTGATTGTAAATATTTAACATATAATTTTTAAAACTCTGCATCATCAGACCATTATGCTGTTTTCTTCTTGATTCACTCCACACATCCCCTCCCGTAAGTATATGACCAACACATACTTGCAAATATCTTCATCAACAATACCTTAAGTATTTTTTATTAAAAAACTACATTTTAATTGTTATTCCCCAAATTGAAAAAAAGCTTTATTTGGCTACTTCTGGTTACTTTTTTAAAAGCTACATGGCGATAATATGTGACAAATGAAACTTTGTTTCCTGCAAAAAAAATCCACAATTCTAGTTGTTGTTGATTTTAATTATATAAGATTGAATATGTTTTATTCTAAGATTGTTATTCATTGGCGTAGCCTCTAACAATTGACACGAAAACAGCTATTTTACTAGATTACGGATAAACAATGTTAAGGTGTTTAATATGGGGAACAATTATGTTTTATATTTCAGAGCGTTCAGGCTTGAAATTAAAGAAGGAGAAAAGATATCACAATAACCTATTCGTTAAGGTTGAAAATGTTGGAGCAATAAACTTTGTAACTGTGTCCAGTAAAGAGGGCATGCGTGTTCTGATGAAAAGTCTGTGCGATGAACTGCAAATACCAGAAGCTGCTTTTGTATGTATTTCATTTGTTTAATATGGTAAACCCACATGGAAATTTGGACAAAGTGCAATGCTGAAAATTTATAAAATAAAAATGTTTCACTGTTTTAATACTGATTTAACATATTTTTGATGGTTACTGTCAAGTCGGTTCACCTAACCAGCTTTCCTTGATAACGAACATGCAATTACCAATTTCTCTGCAAGTCACTAACTACTTATCCTTTATGAACTGTAGTCTCAATCTCTATGCACATACATCAGACAGAAAATTCCCTTCGCCTGAGAATCACACCAGCGACCTTTAGACTTCTATTTGCTGAGATAAGCCGGCGGACTCAATGGTAATTTGATCATAGCAATGCCAGTTAATGCTCTTCATTAACGGAATATCTATGCAGCATTAAAAAAACTGGTGTAAATGACAAATCAACCTAAATCAATGCTATCTTAAGAAGTTTTCATCTCAAGTTTTTCTCTTTTAGTTCAGAACCCTATATGAGAAAGACGCTATGTAGGAACCTTTGGCGTTCACTAATCTAAGTGGATCTTGAACTTGCAGTATTGTTATTCAAAATATATAAAGTCAGGACTGGCTTAAGACTTGGTTGTAATATCTTGTATTCACTAGTACTCTAGAACATAACGGTTTAGATTGAGTTGAATAAAAAGTATAATTGTTAATTCAGTGTCACAACCTTTACAGGAAAGTGTTTTTGAAAAGAAGATGGACTCTGAGAAGATTGTTTGCGAAAAAGGTAAATTTTACACTCTTGTTACATCGTCTGTTTCGAAGGAAGAGTCGAGCTTTTATTATCACTGTGTCATTGTCGTCATCGTTGTCAAAAACTTTATTCAGTCATTTCATCTTGTAATTGATGCTTATCATGACAAAGTGCAGTTGTATGAGAAAAGCCATACTTTAAAAAACAATATAATTTTAGTTATGCCCACATTTTTCTTAAACGTTTGTCGAAATTGAATGCCCTCAACAGGCGAGGGTTAACATCTCGTGCCGTGCACTTGTTTTTAACCCTGTAATTGCTGCATTTGTATATTGAATTTTTCTGCTATGAATTTAGAACAGACTATTTGAAAATAAAGTGATTTCAATATTAATACGAACAGTTAAGATCAGACTGCATGGATATGCAGACTCGCCTGGTTGTAGACTAAATCTCTTTACTCTTGTTTGCATTATGAGATGACTGTTATCACTAAGAACAGAAATAAATTTAATGTCTTATTATAACACACTACAGATTTTGATATAACTCAATAATCCAATCGTGGTCCCAATCACAAAAAAAAAGTCGAAATCATACAAGTCTGCTGAACAAATTGCTACCAGAGCTAAATAAAGAAATAATGTTGTGATTTCTGTTCCTCCTCAACTGCTAGGCAAATTTTGTTTAAACTCAATTTGAATGAGCTGATAATTAAATCTTGTTAATGTTAACCATATCCACAGGTGAGCAATTAAGGGCCATCATGACCCTCTTCTGTACCATCATTGAGTTAGATATAACTTAAAGCAACATTTTGTCCCCTCACCAAAGGCAATAGAGATATTAGGAATGGTCTCAGTCCGTCCATGCATGTGTGCATGCATCCGAGCTTTCAGTTAGGTGGCTAAGAAACAATGAGTAACTACTTTTATTTTGATGTCATTCATTTTGTAAGCTTTTATGCGGCTAGCTCAGGGTGAGCTTTTAGGATCATTGAATGTCCGTCGTCTGTCGTCCGTCTACATTTGTTCATTAACACTCTAGCGGTCACATTTTTGCCTCAATCATCATCAAACCTGGTCATGATGCTTATCTAGGTGATAGCTCGGATGAGTTTGAACATTGGTCATCTCGGATGAAAGACTAGGTCACAGTCCTGAGCTAAAAAAAGAAAATCCTTGTTAACACTCTAGCGGTCACATTTTTGCCTCAATCAACATCAAACTCTGTCAGGATGCTTGTCTAGGTAATAGCTCAGAGAACTTCTAACAAGGGTCATCTCGGATGAAAAACTATATCACAGGAGCTAAAATAGAAAAACCTTGTTAACACTCTAGTGGTCACATTTTTGACTCAATCATCATCAAACTTGGTCATGATACTTGTCTAGTGATACCTCAGATGAGTTCGAACATTGGTCATCTCGGATGAAAAACTAGGTCACAGGAGCTTAAAATAGAAAAACCTTGTTAACACTCTAGTGGTCACATTTTTGACTCAATCATAATCAAACTTGGTCTGGATGTTTTTTAAGGTAATTGCTCGGATGAGTTCCAACATTGGTCATCTCGGATGAAAAATAGGTCCCGAAAGCTAAAGATAGAAAAACCTTGTTAACACACTAGTGGTCACATTTTCGACATGAGGACCGTTGAATGTCCGTCATCTATCGTTTGTTAACACTCTAGCGGTCACATATTTGCCTCAATCATCATCAAACTTTGTCAGGATGCTTATCTAGGTAATTGCTGGGATGTGTTCGAACATGGGTGGGTCATCTCGGATGAAAAACTAGGTCACAGGAGCTAAATATAGAAGAACCTTGTCAACACGCCAGCACTACTGGGAAAAGGTTACTATAAATAAAATAGGTTTAAAGACCCAGTCCTCCCCTTTGGTGCTGTTACACAAGACCTGGCGGAGGACTGTGGTATTAAGGATTCAAACATTGTTGAGAAGCGGCCCATGGAGGTTCCGCCGTGGACCCTGACCTTGCCTGAGGTCGACATCACGTTACAAGAAAAAGTGAACAAATCTGATTTGCCGCATCTCGCAAATACAGAAACAAAAATCTTAATTAACAAATATATAGGTCAAACACACATTTATACGGATGGATCAAAGGACTATGATATGCAATAAATTAAGCTATCATTAAATATAGTTATTAGGGTGTTTTTTTATTCCCAATAAAGAAGGCGTACGCGTATAAGCGTCTTCCCCCTTTTTAATTTAAGTTTAAATTTTAAATACAGCTTTTTAATCTTAGTGTGGGATATAATCCCACCTTTTTCCGGCCCCATCTAATGTAATTATTTGCATATTTGGGGCAGGAAATATTGTACTCACTAGTCACATATGCAGATATTAACTAAATACAGTTTTTTTACCTGTAATAAATGAAGCATATGCTCGCCCATATGGTTTTATACCGGTGGCGAGGGTAAATAAACCCAACACAACAACAACAACGCCAGCAGTCGCATTTTTGTCTCAATTATCATCAAACTTGGTCAGGATGCTTGTCTTGGTAATTGCTGAGATTAGATTGAACTTTCGTCATCTCGGATGAAAAACTAGGTCACAGGAGCTCAAATTAGAAAAACCTTGTTAACACTCTAGTGGTCACATTTTTAACTCAATTATCATCAAACTTGGTCAGGATGCTTGTCTAGGTAATTGCTGGGATGAGGTCGAACATGGGTCATCTCGGATGAAAAACAAAGTCACAGGAGCTAAAAATAGAAAAAACCTTGTAAACACTCTAGTGGTCACATTTTTTGAAACTTAGTCAGGATGCTTGTCTAGGTAATTGCTCGGATGAGTTTGAACATGGGTCATCTCGGATGAAAAACTAGGTCATATGAGCTAAAAGTAGAAACATCTTGTTAACACTCTAGTGGCTACTGTTTTTATACAAATATCCTGGAAATTGTCTGAAGGTTTGTTTGATGATTTCTTGGTCAAGTTTGAATATGTATCCTTGGGGATAAAAACTAGGTCACACCGCCCAAATATGAAAAAATCCTTGTTTACACTCTAGTGATCACATTTTTTTACTCGATTATCATCAAACTTGGTGAGGATGCTTGTCTTAGTAATTGCTGGGATGAGGTCGTACATGGGTCATCTCGGATGAAAAACTAGGTCACAGGAGCTAAAAATATAAAAACCTTGTTTACACTATAATGGTCACATTTTTGACTCGATTATCATCAAACTTGGTCAGGATGCTTGTCTAGGTATTTGCTCGGATAAGTGTTAACATGGGTCGTCTCGAATGAAAAACTAGGTCACATAAAAACCTTGTTAACACTCTAGTGGCTACTATTTGATCCAAATATCCTGGAAATTGGAGATTTATAGGTGAAGTTCGAATATGGGTCACCTGGGGTTAAAAATTAGGTCACACTGCTCAAATATGGGTAATCCTTTTTAACACTCTTGTGGTCACATTTTCGACTCGCATGTCATGAAACTTGGTCAGAATGCTTGTCTAGGTAATTGTTCGGATTAGTTCGATGGGTCAAGTGAGCGATCTAGGGCCATGTTGGCCCTCTTGTTCATGATTTCCTCTCATTAAGTAAAATGTACGAAATAACAACCTTCGGGTAACTTCTTCCTAGCAGTGGGATTAACCATGGCTCTTGTTCTATTATGTTTTCTTTAATGCCACAGCTGGTAGTATATCTAATGCCATGTTTTCTCTACAACTGTTTAAAATGAATGTTGTAGGGAAGTTGGAAAATAATCAATTTCAAAAAAACCGGTTAGTGCAGATACAAAATTTTTGTAATGTGAATCTTCATTGTTATATGATTTTATACCTTAAAAACAAATGCTATACCAGCACAATAAAATAATTCATATGAAGCGGTTTGGATCGATATGTTTGTCCCATTAGACCGAGTAACTACCCACGGGTAGGTACTCGAAGGATATTCCGATCAGAATCTCAAACACATGTCAGATAATTTTCTTGCATATTGTACCATAATTTAAATGGTATGTATACCTCAATACATTAATTGTTATTGAAAATTATATCACCCTAAGAATATAAAATGTGCTGAAATAATTTCATTTTGGAGCATGTGACTCATATGGACGGCCTATGCCTAAATATCTAGCATCAGTAAAATTAACAGAATCACCAGTCTGATTTGCGAAAACGAACATATCATTTACTACCTTCTGTTACAGATGAGGAAGGAAATGGGCTAAAAGAATATATATCACAAGATTTTGAAAACCTGACACCAGAAGAGCGAGGAAACGTTACTTCAGAAGTGAATAGACGGGCTGGTGAGGAATTTGCAAACCTGCACAGAAAAGTGCTGACACAGCTTGATGTTAACCTTTTTGCAGAATATATGAAATGTGTCGGGGCCTTGGTTAACAACGGAGAATTGTTCGGAACCGTGTTCCGAGCAGGCGACGTTTATCTTATGACAACTTTCAATGTTATTCAAAGGATAATTGGTAGGTACTTAAAGGCTGTCTGCATGAAATTAATGCTGAAAAGGGTATGAAATGCCTTTTTATACACTTAAAGGGTGGCATACTGTTATTATCTTCACTTTTAAAGAAAAAGTGTGGAGCTGTTGTCACGACCCATTCATCAGCATTGGCATTAGCATCGGTTAACCTTTTTGTTAAAGGTCCATTTTCTCCGAGTAAAAGCTATTCACTTCAAACATGTTAATTATTATAAAAGGATTTTATTTCTTTTAGGGACAGATAACCCTAAAACTATTTTTTTTGCAAACTTGCTCAGTGATCCCCTAGTCTTTTTGCGTGAAATGTTCCTTTTTCATATTCTAAAGTTTAAATAAATTCCATGAAACACTTTTCATTTTGCCATATGTAACTTTAGCATAACGTTTTCAAGAAGATTTGTCATTCCCAGAATGCCAGGTCAATAGCTTTAATAGTGATGGATCTTTTTCAATGTCCAAATAGTACATTGGTGGTTATGTCTCGTCATATCTTTGTCATTCATTGTTGGATGCTTTTTTTTAATAATTCGGTATACTTAGAATATAAGAAAATGTTCATGATTTTTTTTTAATTTTATAACACTCTTTATAATAACAATGCCTTTGTTGTATGTTAAACGTAAGGTTTCTTTTAATGGGCCCAGCTTTTGGGCATTTATTTGTTTCCAGCAACAAGTTTTGTATAATTATAATTAATATTTGTCTGTCCTTAATCTTAACATAATTCTGTTTATGTAAAAGGCCATGTTTTAAGTTAACAACATTTTAAGTCACTAAAAACTTCTGTTTGAATATATTATCTGGGGATATTAAAAAACTACTTAATTTTATTATTTCAGATCCGTGTAATACTGGTCAAGCTGATTATACACTCATTGAAGCCGAAAATGTTTTCGTCAATTTCAACTCTTCGGTATTGGACATACCCGATTATAAGTTCAGAGTACGCCATGTCATTTCAACCGACACACCACTTCTGGACTATACAGTTCTGCAGATAATAAACAATAATGATACGTTGCCAAAGGGACTGAAGTTGGATAAGAAGCCTCATAACACTGAAACAAGACCGTTATACGGAATTGGTTACGGTAACCCTGAAACCCCTTTCTATAAGGTGCTAGATAATTCCTGTCCTATCATTTCCTCAATAAATACGAGAATTCTGGATTGTGTGAAATGGCTTGATGAAACCCAAGATAAAAATGTACCTCAAGTTGCTGGGCTTAATCGGTCACAGTACTTTAAGGCACATGTTCAGGCGATGGGGTTTGATCCTAATATTGTAGATAAAGGATACCAGTGTATTGGTAGGGAACAGCATATTTTCATAAATGCTTATATGGAACGCGGAGCGTCTGGTTCTCCTTTTCTGACAAGTGACGGATGTGTCAAGGGTGTACTTATTAGCGGTTATCCAGCTTTTTATTTTCATCTTCCTAAAATTGTAAGGTCTGGCTTTCCGAGGGATAAAACATTTGAATGTATTTTGAAATTGGAATATGTACACCAACATATTTTAGAACGGGACCCAGAAATAGCTAATAAATTGTTCGGCTAAACCCACATTAGAAATTCTCTTTTGGGCTTATTTATTCTGAGATTGTACAAACAGTTTCTCAAGACATCCTTGTTTCTTTTTGAAATTTCTGAGTTGTCAATCTATTTATGAATGGAACCAAGACATAGTTTATAAATTGAGCGGCTTAATACCAAATTAGAAATGTTCTTTTTGGCTTAGTTATTCGGAGATTGTTCAAATAGTTTCTAAAGACTTCTCATTTTTCTTTTTTGAAATTCCTGAGTTGTCAATCTATTTATGTTTCGATAAAAATAAAATTAAGACGAGACTAGTTTAGGTCTCATGAGAAATTAGAATGAGTAAGGTAAAGAGCATAATAGATTTTGCACTTTTGCACCCAAATTTTGTTTAACTTATAATTGTATAAGTTTGCCTGTGAATTTAGGTTTATGTGTATAAAATGTATTCCTTCTTATGATGTTGTTTCGATAAAAGCTTTTGCCAATTTAACATATTACACCCCCACTTTGATCAAGCACTTATCTAAGCATCCATTATTTTACCGGTCGCTTCATTACGACTGTACTTGTTAAGCAAAACATACATTTGTACATACTATTACTGTGTCGTTCAACAGAATTTCTAATTATCATGGTTGTCAATTCTCGCGCAGTTTACATATCTTGAAGTCAGACACAATGTGAAGCCAATACTAGAATCTTTACTAGTACATTTAATCTGGATATCAGATCTGTTAACTGTGACATCAATCTCTGTTCTGATATTGATCTGTTTGCTGCAATTTGAATTCATCTTTTGTGACATTGATCCATCAGCTGTGACATTTATCCATCTGCTTTGACATCAATCCTTCTACTTTGACATTAATCAGTATGCTTTGACATAATCTGCTGCGACAAAAAATCAATTTATAGTTCAATTTGTTGTGAATGTCAATTGACTGCTGTGACATTAATCCATCTGGTTTCACATTCATTCATTTATTTTGACATTAAACATTCTGCTCTGCCACTGATAGATAATTTGTGACATTAGTCCATCTGATTTGCCAAATAAAGAAACTGTATTGAAACATAAAATGTGAATTACTTACACAAATAAGCTTGGGTACTTAAAAAAATGTGCAGAAGATAACTGAAAAATATACATTGAAAATCCAATTGAGTTGTAATGCTTTTCAAGATTGGGTTATTCTTCATAATAAGAAACAATATTCTTTTGAAAAGACATATTGATTGAAAAATCTGAAATTTTGCACACAAGTAATTGGTCTAGACCTAGATCAATTGGAACATTAATCTAGAAAAATTATTTCCAGCCCTATCATGTCACAAACACTCTGTGCAGTCCCTGTACAGTAAATTTGCTGTCCTATTATTAAATCTTCTGTTAGATTGATCTATCTGTGGTGACATTAATATATCTGCTTTGACATTCATCCATTTGCTGTTACATTTATCCACCTGCTAGCCATGTGTCTGTTGTATATTTCTTCTTTAATTGATTTAAATTTGTGATGTATTTAGCTGTAATTAGCATGGTCTGATTTCGAATTAATTGTTTGGTACTAATGTTTCTCCTGTTTTATACAAAAGTGACTTGGTGTGATAGGTACTTATATTAGGCATACATGTAAATTAGCATGTTATGTAGCAGTGAAATTTCATTGTGCTGAGGAATAAATTGTCTTCTCTTTTGTATGGATGGGAATTCAGTGTGAGAATTTCATGCTTAGATATTTACATTCTTCTTGTTTGAAAAAAAAAACAATTCATAAATAAAGACCTACGAAAATAACCTTATTGAATAAACAGCAAAATTATTGCCCAACAAATTAAGTGAATTTACAGTATAAATTAGTTGTAGTTGTATATAGTAAAACAAACAAAATTTTCTTATAAAAAACTAAAAGCTAGAGCTTAGATATTAAGCATGAAACATCTTCTAGCAAATATCTACCATGTTTGGTCAACTAAAATTATTGGGGCAAAATTGGCCCTGCCCAAGGGGACCAATGTATTTAGTAAAAACACACAAAAATTGTCACGTCAAATTCCGAAAACCCTAGAGTTTAGATATTTTGCATGAAACATCTTTTAGTGAATGTATACCAAGTTTGTTCAAATTAAAGCCCTGTATTCAAAGCTGGCCCGCCCAGGGGGTAATTGATTTTCCTTTATGTATATAGTAAAACACAAAACAAACTTTTTGGAAAAAAAGCAAAAGAGCTAGATCTTAGATATTTAGCATGAAACATTTCCTAGTGGTTGTCTACCATGTTAGTTCAAATGAAAGCCCATGGGTTAAAATCGGCCCCGCCCTAGGAGACAATGATTTTCCTTTATGTATTTAGTAAAACTACACAAAAAACCTTCTAGTAAAAATTCAGAAAGAGCTAAAGCTTAAATATTTAGAATAAAATATCTTCTAGTGGGTGTCTACCAAGTCTGTTCAAATAAAAGCCCTAGGGTCAAAATTTGCCCCGCCCCCAGGGGGTCATTGATTTTCCTTATATGTATATTGTAAAAAACAAAACAAAAACATATAATATTACACTATACAGGTTTAAGCTTAAATATTTGGTATGAAACATTATCTAGGGACTACTAATTTTTAGCTCACCTGAGCTAGCTCAGGGTGTGCTTTTAGGATCGTTGAATGTCCGCATTCCGTTTATCAGCCTGTCTTCTGTCATCCGTCCACATTTGTTCGATAACACTCTAGTGGTTACATTTTGCCTTAATAATCATCAATCTTTTCCAGGATTCTTGTCTATGTAATTGCTCGGATTGTTCGAACATGGGTCATCTCGAATAAAAATAACTAGATAACAGGAGCTAAAAACAGAAGAAGAAAAAACGTTGTTATCACTCTATTGGTCACATTTTTGGCTCAATTGTAATCAAACTTGGTCATGATGTTTGTCTAGCCAATTGATCGGACTAGTTTAAACATGGGTCATCTGTAATGAAATACTACGTCACAGGAGCTAGAATAAAAAAAATTCTGTTATCACTGTAGTGGCTACTGTTTTGATCCAAGTATCTTGGAAATTGGACGAATAAGGGCCATCTCGGGTTAAACACTATATCAAATCGCCTAAATATAGAAAAATATTGTTAACACTAAAGTGGTCAAACTTTTACTCAATTGTCATCATACTTGGTCAGGATGCAAACCTAGGTAATTGCTCGGATGAGTTATAACATTGGCCATCTCGAATGAAAAACTAGGTCACAGGAGCTAAAATAGAAAAACCCTTGGTAACATTCTAGTGGCCACGTTTTTGATGCAATTGTCATTAAACTTGATCAGGATGCTTGTCTAGGTAATTGCTCGGATGAGTTCGAACATGTTCATCTCGGATGAAAAACTAAGTTACAGGAGTTAAAAATACTGTTGTGATCCAAATATCCTGGAAATTGGTATGAAAGTTTGTTTTGGTGATTTCAAAATCAAGCTCGAATATGGGTAACCTGGGGCAAAAAAGCTAGATCACACCGCCCCAATATGGAAAAACCTTGTTAACACTCTAGTTGGCACATTTTTGACTCAATTATTATCAAACTTGGTCAGGAAGTTTGTCTAGGTAACTGCTCGGATAAGTTTGAATATGGGTCATCTGAAATGAAAAACTAAGTCACGGGAGCTTAAAATACAAAAAAGCTTGTTAACACTTTAGTGGCTATTATTTTGGTCTAAATACCTTTGAGATTGGTCAGAAAGTTTGTTTTAATGATTGATTTCTAGCTTAAGTTCGAATATGGGTCACCTCGGGTAAAAAACTAGGTCACACCGCCCAAATATGGAAAAACCTTATTACTTTTTAAGTATAGACTTAAAATTTGGACAAGGGGTAAATTTCTGATGCAGAATCGTAAAATGATATCGACTGACCTACGTTTGATAATTTTGATATCCATTTACATACTTTATTTTTGACATACACACTAGAATTTGGACCATGGGTGTAATTTCTGATGCCAAATTTATTTCTTGATATCAGCTGACTTTTTTATGTAATTGATATTGTTTGTGACACACTTTCTTGCTTTTTGACCTACAGACATGGTATTTGGTCCAAGGGTGTTATTTCTGATAACGAGTTGTATTTTGATATTATCTGACCTACTTTTGATAGTCTTTATATCATTTGACCTACTTTCTTGTGCTTGACATACAGATTTTAAATTTGGACCATTGGTGTAATTTATGATGCTGAATTAAATATCAGCTGACCTACTTCTAATATGTTTGGTATTGCTTGATTTACAATCAAATGATGGGTCAGGTGAGCTTTCAAGGGCCATCTTGGCCCTCTTCTGTTTAATGATAGCTCTCGAGTAAAAATTAGCTCCATCCCAGGGGTCACTTAGTTCACAAAGACTTAAATAGGAAAATACATAAATACTTAAATGTCCAGAGTTTAGATATTTGGCTTGTAGGATATTCCTTGTTGATCCTCTACTTTAGTTATGTGACTGGTGAACCTTGGACAAAAATGGCCCTCTGGGGCACATGCATCACTGTGCACTTTTCTGACTAATTTTCTCCTTTAAATAATATTATATTAAGTTTTTCATTCATACCAAGAATATAAATAAGATTTTCAATTATTTAATTTGAATTTATGATGACTAAAGATATCAAAAAAAAACATTAATATAAATAAAAAGGAAATGTCTAAATCTGCTTAAGGGTCACTCATTGTACTTTATAAGTCTGGTTTACTGCCTTCATTTACTGTAAAAAGTAACACATAACATAGTGTAAGGGGAAGGAACTTCAGACTATGACTTTATAAACATAACTATATGCATTGCAGAGCAAAACATTCAATTCTGGCTTTATCATCTCCTTTTGATAAGATAAAGTTTTGCATTGCATACCGGAAAAATAAATATGATTTTAAATTATAATCTTTGTATTCATGATGATTAAAATGTAGCAAAAGGACATTTTTTTAAATAAAAAGTTTATGTTTAAATCTCTCTTACTGCTAGCGTCTACATATTAACTACAGTATATATAGCTTGAAAATCACATGAGCTTAAACTGTGGCTCTTGAATTCTTATCTAGGATCACTACATCTTAGATTTTTGGTATGAAACATTGTCAGGTGGGCCTCCACAAGAAATTGTACAATTAATAGCCATTTGGTCAAGTATTGGCCCTACTGTTGAAGCGTGGAGAGACATAGATTTTTCTTATATGTACATAGTAAAAACTTTATCTCTAAAGCTAAAAGAGCTAAACCTGTTTTATTTTTGACATGAAAAATTTCTAATAAACCTCTACTACGTTTGTTCAAATTATAGCCGTGAGGTCAAATTTGCCTTTCCACAGAAGGTCATTGACTTTCCTTATATGAATATAGCACAACGCACATTAAACTTCTACTAGTATTATACTATAGAGACTTTAGCTAGTACTTGATATGTGCAATGGTCTGGTGGACCTCTACAAAATTGTTTAAATTACAGTCATTTGGTAAAAAATTGCCCACCCCAGGGTATCGTTGATTATCCTGTAATGTAAAGAATAAAGACAAAAATATCGTCTACTATACTACAGAAGCTTTATCTTAGATGTTTTGTATGAAAAATTGTCTGGAGGACCTCTACAATTTTTGTTCAAATATTAGCCCTCAGGTCAAAATTGGTCTAGCCTAAGGGAACATAGATTTTCCTTATTCCTTCTCTATTTAGTAAAAACTTCTTCTCTAAATCTATTTACTAAAGCAACTGGTGACTTCATAGCACCCATTGATTTTATAGCAAATTGTTAAGTTTCATAACAACCATTGGCATCCATGGCGAACATAAACTTTCAATAGCAACGAGTGAATCTGCAATTGAATTTCATAGCAGGCACTGACTTTCAAGGAAACCATTTATTTTGTA